CCTCTCACTGCCCCTCCCCTCACGGCTCCTTCCTCGAGCCCCTTCCCTCCCCCCAAACCAGCGGGTGTGTGTGTCCAGTACCAAGCAGAGACCCCTCCTCCTAGCCCCGCCCACTCTTACAACCCAGTCTAGCTCTCCTCCACGCCCGCGGCGCCCCGGCCCCGCCCCCCTCCGGCCGCTCTAGCCACCGCTCCTCTCTTTGGTTGGCGCGGGGCCGTCGCACACCCGGCGCGGGAGGCGGAGCGGCAGCCGGAGGGCGGCGCAGTGGGTTGATTTGGGCCTCCGCTCGCCGCTGCGCCGGGGTCGCGCAGCTCAGCGGTCTCTGAGTGCCTGCGCCGTCGCTCTTTCCGGGCCGGGTTCCGAGGACGGCGCCTCCCCGAGCGTGGGGCCCTGCGCCGCTCTCCCTCAGGCCCTGCACCGACTTGGGTTCCAGGACGCCAGAGCTAACGCCCACCCAGTCCAGGCCCCGCACCGTCTTTTCCCGGCGGATTTAGGTTCTTCTAACCCAAGGTTGTGTCCAGTGGCCTCAGGGCTCCTGTGAGTTTCGGATGAGCCCATAACAATATTTAGAAATGGGGTTCTGGAACCTGGGAATCCTGGAGAGACACCCTTAGGGCCCCCTGTCGCCGGCTTCTACGTTCTTCTCCACAGTTGAGGATCCCTTTCCCGTTCCCTCAGACTCACTACCGTCCGACGTGTCATGGCCCCGAGGCCAGGGCGCGAGTGGAGCTCCGCCCTGTCCCACCTGGCGCTGGGATCAGTGTCTCTGTATGCAGCCCTGAGCACTGCCCAGGTGAGTACACTGGGGCCGGGCAGGAGCGGAGCCCACTCCCAAATCCCTAGAGGGTGGTGGGAGGTAAGTGTGGGGGCCTGACTTCTGTGAGACCTTCAGACCCTTCCCTGTTTAAAGGGAGGTCCTGGCCTCTTTTTCCCACATCTCCCTTCCCTGTGTTGACAGGCAAATCGAGGGGCCGCTGCTGGCTTCCTGCTCCAGGCCCTGGCTGCTGCCACCATGCTGGCCCCAGGGCTGGGCACAGATGAAGACTGTCTTGCTGGAGCCTGGGTGGCCACTGTCATTGGCCTGCCCCTCCTGGCCTTCGATTTCCACTGGGTGAATGGGGACTGCTCCTCCGCCAACCTGCTCCTGGGAGGAGGCATGGTCCTGGCAGTGGCTGGTGAGCACCTTGGTGCTGAGGGCCGCTCTGTGGCTGGGCAGGCAGTGGTGCTGGTGGTCGCAGTGACCATCCTCATTGTGGCTGTTTTCACGACCAACACTTATGGAATGTTGGGGGGGGTGATGCTCGGCGCCGCAGGCCTCCTGAGCCGGCTGGAGGAGGACAGACTGCTGCTGCTGCCGAAGGAGGACGTCTGTCGCTGGGCCCTGGCCGGAGGCAGCTGGGCCTACCACCGGGCCCTGCACACACAGCGCCTACAGTGGGGGTGATGGTTGGGGACAGCAAGGCGAGGCTTCTGCCCTGGCTACCACTTTCCCCTCACGGTCCTGCTCCTAGGGCCTCCTCCTCTAGGGAGAGACTCTCCTTCAACCAAAGCCAGCTTGCTGCAGAGTGACTGGTCAGGGGGCAGAGTCTGGGCACTATCTCCTTCTCTAGTGCAGTGTGAGGACTTGCCTAGACCAAAATGAGGGGGACTGGGTCCCGGGCATGTTTCGGGGCCTGATTCTGGGCCGGCCATAGTTGTGGATCCAGAGAGAGGCTTGGTCTCCAATAAACCTTAGGGATTTAGCAGGAATATGGACTCTGCCTATTCTTGAGTCGGATTGAGAGGGCCTCCAGTGAGCTTCCTAAGGCTCCCAGGGCAGCAACTGGTTTCCCTGAGCAAAGGAAGGCAATGTGCTGGAACCAACCCTGGGGGCCTCACTCAACTTGGCCTGCCGGCACCTTTGTAAAGAGGACCCCTGGACTGAGAAGATACAGGAGCCCTTGCTCTCCTGGAACACGGTGGAGTTCTGAATATCCTTGCAAGGTCTGGCTGGTGGCCCTATGGGGCAGTGACCTTAACCGGCCGCCGGCTGGGGTGGGGGCAGGGGAGGGCCGTACCACAGCTGTTCCCAGAAATGTACATCCCCTCCCAGGGCTGACTCGACCTCTACCCGTTTGCCCACCGGCCTGTGCATGGCAAGTCCTGATTTCCTAAGACCCTCGCTTTCCTCAGCGGACCCCTCTTCAGCTCCCAACCCCAGGGTTACGAACGGGACTGGGCAGAGCAGTGGGTTAGATTCCGGGTCCAGAGTCCTCCCTTGGGGAGTCCCTGCACTCGCGTCCTGTGGAAGCACATCTCTTCCCGCACAGGAGGGGAGAGGTGGCCGGCAGTTTCTCGCTCCTGCCAGCCAGGCCAGAGCCCCGCGCACGCTAGCCTGGGTGTCCGGGGACAAAGGCGCAGGCACATCTGGACGTGGGGGTCCAAGGTTGCCCTCCGTTCCGGGGCACCCAAGGCGTGTGGTCCCGGGCCGGACTGGCGGGAAGCACCGCGCTCAGCCCTGACGCCAGGACTATTCGGGCCCCAAAGATCGCCCCTCAGCGGGTCGCCGGGGGCCCCGCCCACCTTATGCAGGGGCGGGCCCTCGCGTGCCCATTGGTTCTGGCCGTCGCGCTGTCTCCCCGAGCGGCCCTCCCATTGGCCTCGCTCCGCTCACGTGACTGAGAGAACAAGGGGGCGTAGGCGGCGGCGGGGTGGGGGAGCGTACAGGGAAAACAAAGATGGCGGCCGCGCCGGAGTCGGTGGCCGCGGCGGCTGCGAGGCGACCCGCGGGCCGAACCCACTGAGGCGGCGGCGCAGGGAGCGGGGCTGCGGGGTCGCGGCGGCGGCGGCGGCGGCGAGAGGGCGGAGGGAGCGCGCGGCGCCCCCTAACCTCTAGCCGCGGGAGCG